AAGCCAGCCTCACATGCTGGGGGGAAAAGGCAGCTCAGATAGAGAAGGGACCACCAAGAAAAGGGTGCTAGGAGGGCCCGCTCAGGATGGGAGATGCGGGCTGAAAGTAGACTATAGACCAAACATGATGACCACTTAATACCTCTACTGCAAACCACAACACCCAAAAGCAAAAGTACCAGGAGCATTACTGGTAATCCAAAAGGAGAGAGAGAGAGCAAAAGGGAATGCCCTGCCACAGAGGCGGGGTGGAGTGGAGGTGACGAGGTGGTGGTGGGGTGGTGGGGATGCTGGGACCATTGGTGGTAGAAAATGGACACTGGTGGAAGGATGGGTACCCTATCATTGTATGATTGAAACGCAAGCATGAAAATTTGGAAGTCTGTAACTGTACCTCATGGTTATTCACTAATAAATTAAAAAAAAAAGACCTCAAAGTATATGAACAGGGAATCTTAGAAACGAGGACCAGACAAGAGAGAAGTGAAACTGCTCCTTACTCCTTTTTTAATGACCTGTAATAGAAAACAACAAAAAGCAAAAGGCCTATTTTCAGTTTTTTTTTAATGGATCCCCAAGAAGACCTCAAAGTAGATAAGTACCAGGAGGATTACTCCACAGCTTAGAAGCCAGCCTCACATGCTCAGATAGAGCTACAGCTTGGGTGGCACCTGAGCAGATGGAGGGGAAGCACTCTGTGGGGAGCAGGTGACTTCAGGTGTGCCCTGGTGGAAGCTGTTGGCCATAGGAAAGCTGGAGACAGACCAGGAAGAAGGCAGGCAGGGGACAAAAAGGGACATTCGAGGTCCTTGGTAAGGGGCACATGTTTGGCTTTTCCTCATCTGCAGATGGAAATGGGACAAAATTAAGGGGAAATCTCAGCTATCAAATCAAGTCCTGGCCATTTGGGGTCAACTGTCACAGAATGATGGTGTACTTTCTGAGCTGTTGCTAGAAATAGACTCGCAGTATGTGTGACCTGCACCAGTTCCCTTGCTGGTCATTGTTTCCTGAGCAGGGTGCTGCAAGTTCCAGGTCAGAGCTCTGTTTTTATTTATGGCCTGGAGATTGTCTGCCTGTGGAGGCCACCTTGCATCTTTCAGGCAGCTATATGGGCAGCTGACCTGCTCTCTGTATTTCTAGAGAGCCTTTTGGGAGAGAGAAAAGTTTCACAGGATTGCAGGATTGCCTGGTGTAGAGTGGAAGGACATGCATCCTCATGAACACCTCTCTCTTCCCTCTCCCTTCCCCCACACCTCCCTCTCCTCTCTCCCTCTCTCTCCCTCTCTCTCCCTCTCTCTCCTTCCCCTCTTCCTCTCCCTCCTCCCTTTCTCTCTCTCCTCTCCTCTCTTCCTCTCTCCCCTCCCCCTCCTCCTCTCCCTCCTCCCTTTCTCTCCCTCTCTCCCCTCCCCCTCCTCTTCTCCCTCCTCCCCTTCTCTCTCCTCTCCCCTTTCCCTCTCTCCCCTCCCCTCCTCCTCTCCCTCCTGCCCTTCTCCCCCCTCCTCTCCTTTCCTCTCTCCCTCCCCGCCCATCTCTCCACCCCTCATGTCCCAAGACAGAGAGAAAGGAAGAGAAGGCCAGAAGCTATGGCTGGAATGGAGCCATAAGAACACTCACAGGTGTTTGGCCTAGATTCCCTTCAGGAACCAGTGGACTCTGTTGGACAAATACTGATGCCAGTATTTACACCAAAGATTTAATTCCAGAGAGCAAGGGTGGAGCATCAGTTGTGTTTGGCTGGTTGGTTTGGTTGGGGGCCCACACTAGGTGGTGTTCTTGGGAAACTTCCAGGACGTTGCTCAAGAGCTCTTCCTGGTAGTGGTCAGGGGACCATGTGGTGCTGAGGATTGCACCTGGGGCTCCCACATGTGAAGTATATACCCCAGATCCCTAAGTTTTCTCCTAAACCCCAAACTTTAGTATTTTCCCCAAAACTTTCCAGATCAAGGGTCAAAAAGGTAGTATAGTAGATAAGATGCTTGCACTGCATGTGACTGACACAGGTTGAATACCAAGCACCACACATATGCTATCCTGGGCTCAGGGCTATCTACTGTGTGCTGCTCTGGGCTGACCCTTGAACAGAGAGCCAGGAGTAAGCCCTGAGTACTGCTCAATGTGGCCCCCAAAACAAACCAACCAACAAACTTTCCAAATCATTCTTCTGAACAACCCAGCAATCCAGTCTGGCAGCTATTAACCAAAATAACATAGTCTTTGAGAGACAGAGGGAGCAAACAGGAACCAGTGAGGATGAACATAGGGCATATGGCCATAACTGTGTTCTCGGGCAATCTCCCATCTTTCAGACATTAGAAATAGATGTGTTTGGTAGGATGCCAAAACACTGAATTGTCCCAGGCAGATCTATCCTCAGGTTGAGAACTTTGGGGCCTTCTGGGAGTGGGGGTGGAATGACTCCCCTCCCTGCCGGAAGGCCCAGCATCCCCCACCCACCCCCGACATCCTCTGACGTATAAATTGCCCAGCACCACAACTGAATCTCATCAAGCCACTGAGCCACCAAATCATCTCAACTCCACGGCTCCTGGAGAGCGTGGCCACATCTCACAGTGCTAACAGCCTCACAGGAGCACAGCAAGTTTGATAGAAAAGCTGCGTAGAAGCCCACTAACTTCAATGAGTGAAAACAATAACTCCGAAGGCTCAACTAGCACCAGCCAATTCAGTAAATCCTGAGACAATGACTTTAGTAACATCACTGCAAGATATAACAGTCAACACAAATTGACTTTTATGAATCTATCTTTTTATAATCCCATTTGCCACTTTGTTCTAAAAAGCAGTGTAAAACAAATTTGTGCTAAGGGAACAGGCTTGGGGGAGGCAGGGCAGGGGTGGGAAACTGGGACCATTGGTGGAGGGAAGGTCACACCGGATTAGTGTTGGAACATTGAAACATTGCACTATGAACAATTTTGCATATCACTGTGTTTAAAAGATAAATAAATAGGGCCGGAGTGATAGCACAGCGGGTAGGGCGTTTGCCTTGCATGCGGCCCATCTGGGTTCAATCCCCGGCATCCCATATGGTCCTCCAAGCACCACCAGGAGTAATTCCTAAGTGCAAAGCCAGGAATAACCCCTGAGCATTGCTGGGTGTGACCCAAAAAGCAGAAAGAAAGAAAGAAAGAAAGAAAGAAAGAAAGAAAGAAAGAAAGAAAGGATAAATAAATAAACAGGAGATCAGAAGTGCAAAATGAAACTCGAAGAGCAAAGGGACCATGATCAGAGAGCAGGAGAAAGATGCTGAATCCCAACTGGGTCAGAAGGAACAAGGACGATACTTCAAGCTACTTTACAAATGACACTAGCATTTTGGAAGGGAGGGGGGTCACACCTGGCGATGCACAGGGGTTACTCCTGGCTCTGCACTTAGGAATTACTCCTGGCGGTGCTCAGGGGACCATATGGGAAGCTGGGGATTGAACCCAGGTTGGCCGCATGCAAGGCAAAAGCCCTACCCGCTGTGCTATTGCTCCAGCCCCTTTAAAAAAAAATGTAGGAGTACTGCTATTTATTCAGCCATTGATTAAGCTGATTGAATTGACACCAGTATGCTTGGGAGCGGCATTCTTCATTTTGACATTGAACCACGTGAACATGTACTTCTCCTCTTTAAAATGCCATTTCCTCACAATGCTTTCTTCCTCACCAATTGTGTGAGGGCTCTGTACATACTTTGTCGCTCTGGGCCTGTGCATGCCTCAAAGGCTTTGAACAGAATTCTGAACAACTGCATCTGGACCATGGAAGCTCCCAACCCTCCAACAAACCTCTCACTTGCTTCACACACCTGGTATACATTTTGTTTTTTCATTTCTAGTCCTTTCCAAATTTTTCAAAGGGACTGAAACATATGAATTTGATACAATATCACCCCCTGGTGGAAAGACAGCAGAAAATCCATGCTTAAAGCCACACTTTGATACTTCAAAGGAAAAGGACCATACAGTGCTCTTTCTCTCCTCTCACCGCCTTTGCAGATGAATGTTCACTTCAAGCAAAATCATATACCAACACTTTATGGTGGTAAAAATTGAACTTTGCTGGTGCCTTTTTCTTTCTCAATCTTGATTACCAGTCCCACATGCCCAAGGACGTTCAAAATAAACCTTATCACTAACATAAACTTGCCCCCCCACCACAAACTTAAATTTAAATATTTATTTTTTGCAAATCTTCTGCAATCTACCATAAATAACCCCACAAATAGCACAAACCAAATCCCTCCAGGGGCTAGGAGGATGGCTAATAGGGCAAGAGCACTTATTTTGGATGTGGGAGTCCTGGGTTTACAGCCTGCGTTGAATTTCTGGCATCACCAGGTACCCTGAGCACTGCAGGTGTGACCCCCAATCACTCTTCCATGTGACCCTAAACCAAGACAAAATATCCTGTAATGCACACAACACAAATCCACAGATCAGAATTCTGAGCAAACCAACATCGAGAAATCAAGTTAGATTTAAGCCAGCAATTCCGAAACTCATTTTATCATGAGACACATCCCTTGAGCCCCTGCTCCCCCACAAACACACACTTTTTCACAACTTAAAAAAATTGCTTTGGTGATATTTCATTCAAAACGATGGTTCCGTCTTAATTAGCAAATTAGCTTTTTGGCTGTATATACTGTTATTCAATCTTCAAAAAATGCCGAGGCAAAGCCAACCCGCCAACAGACCAGCCTTCAATCATCAGCAGTAATGGGAAGTACCAACCTCCAGGGATGGACCCAGGCAGCTGCTGAGTCGATGCCACACCCATAGGCAGCTCAGCCCCTGACTTCTACCATCACTGCCAAAGGCAATGAAGTTGCCACAAGGACTAGCTAAAAGGAATGCTTTGTCTTTCATTAAAGAAAGTCAGACTGTACTGAATGAACACGGAGTAATTTTATTTAAAGGGATTATAATGCTCACTTTACTATCATCTACAGTAGCTGAGAAAGTTCTGTAACTTTCACTGACCTAAACATTTCCAGATGTTGTCTCCTTCCTTGTGTGCATTTATGAGTCCCTAAATGTCAGAATCTAGCTTTCAGCATCTATGGATATTAGCACAGACATTTCTTTCAGTAGGTCTGAAATTGTACACTAAGTCTGTTTAACAAAAATAGAGTTTTATACCTGAGGATAACGATGCTAGATTTAAGTCTAGTATTGAATTAGCATAGTCTGAATTCTACCGTTAGACATGGCATCCTTTTTCATTTTATTTGAGAGGCCATTGGGGCCACACCCAGCAATGCTCACAAACTACTCCTGGCTCTGTGCTCAGGAGTGACCCCTGGTGTACACAGGGAACCATTTGGGATGTCGAGAATTTGAACCACGGTGGCTGCATGCAAGGCAAGACTTCTCTGCTATTCCTCTGGTATCTCGAATTTGGGAGTGGGGTGCTGCAGGCACACCCGGTGATGCTCAAGAGTTATTCCAGACTGAACTCAGGAATTACTCCTGGTGGTACACAGGGGACCATATGGGATGCAGAACAAAGCTGTGTCTACACTCTCGGGTAATGTCAAAGTTTCTTGCATATGTTCAACTGTTTTCACCCTATTTTGATCAGTTAGTTCAAGTGCCAGTTGTTATCATTTCTTGTCACCTAGAGCTTTGACTTGGAAGCAGAGGGCCTCAGGGCCTGGACACACTCCTCCACCAGCCTGGTAGCCTCCAGGGCACAGCCCCAGTGCACTGAGATGCCACCGCCACCATGTCCATAGTGGTGGACCACGGGCAGCCTCTGGTCACCCCGGATCAAAAGCTCCCTCTGCAGCCGCACACCTGGCCTGCACGGTCGCAAGCCCACCTTCTCCCTTATATCACGGGCTGCGTGGAGGGAGGGCTCCAGGGCACAGCATCGGGAGAAAATAGCTCTGCTCATTTCTGCATCTGGGCAGAGATTCCAGTCTCCCTTCTGCCTGCTTCCACCGAGGGTGACAGTAGATGTACCAGGGTAAATATAGGTGAGTCCGTTCCCATCTCGGACAAAGTGCTTTACCCATGGGGCCTGCACTTGGAGTACCTGGCCCCTGATGGGGACCACCTGCCAGTCCCCTGCCAGTTGTCTACTGCCCAAGCCCGCACAGTTGACCACGACGTCGAAGGCTGGATGCAGCTCCCAGAGGTCTTCTATTTGTCGGGTGAGCACCAGGCCCCCACTTTCTCTTATCCTGGAAAGAATGAAAGACAGGAGGTGAGCCTAAGCCATTTCCTGCCCAACCCTTTCTAGGAAGTGAGGACAGAACACAAGAGTAAAGAAGGGCTCAGACAGGCAGAATTCCAGTCTTTGCATCTCAACATGGTAAAGGTAAAGGTAAAGGCCCTCCCGTTGTTCATCGATTTGCTCGAGCGGGCCCAGTAACGTCTCCATTGGAGACTTTGTTGTTACTGTGTTTGGCATATCAAATACGTCACGGGTCGCTTGCCAGGCTCTGCCGTGCGGGCGAGATACTCTCGGTAGCTTGCCGGGCTCTCCGAGAGGGGCTGAAGAATCGAACTCAGGTTGACCATGTTGGCTGCGTGCAAGGCAAACGCCCTACCGCTGTGCTATCGCTCCAGCCCATCTCAACATGGGAAAGGGGAAATCGCCCCCCAAAAAATGTCATCCTGTTTTTCCAACTTGTAAGTAATAATGTTGACTTCATAGACTCATTGTAAAAAAGACAACGTTTGGGAAAGGTTTATACATAACACATTCTAGATGCAAAATAAGATTTGTTGAAGGCAAAAGGCTTGGGAGGGAGGGGGGTTGCTACTATGACCACGAGATGGGGTGCCTTATGCAGGAGGTGACTGTCCTCCATGCTTTCACATCGCTGACATTCGATTATGTCTCACCACCTCCAAGGGCAACAGCTGGATGTTTAAAGAATGTTTTTGATCGACCTCTTGGGTCCATTTATAATAGCTTGTGGATTCCATGTGGATTCCATGTGTTAATAACTAAAATATTATCCTCTGTGTTCCAATCTCCCTAAGTAGAAACTAAAATTATTTTCCTTATTTGGAGAAACAAGGGAATTTACCAGTCAAAGGAAGTGAGTAAAAATTTTAAGCTCACTGAACTTGTTTTCTCAACTATCACCTGGGGATAAAAGTGCCAAGCTCATGTTTTTTTTTTTTATGACAGTTACAGAAGAACTCATTTACGTTTGCATAAATGAAAATATAATCATTTCCATTTCAACAGGACTCTGCAGGTAGAATTGCCCCTTACCTGGAGGCTTCTTTAATTATGGCAGTGAATGGCTGTCTGATCCCAGGAGGAAACTCCAAAGTTCCCAGAAACCCTGCATCCTCAGAGTGCCACCAGCCTGTCACTGTGTGGTGGTGATATCCAGTCATTATTGGGTATCCCATCAACAACCCGGTGAGGAGGAAACTGTGCCTGGAAGCCAGAGCTTAAACAGGGTCAGGGCTGGAGGTAGTACAGCATGTCCTTGCATGCTTGAGACCCCGGGTTCAGTTCCTAGCTTTGCATGGTCCCCTGAGCATCATAAGAAGCAGTTCTGGCCTTGAGCACTGCCAGACATGGCCCCTACAACTAAATGGGTCAATATGTGCCTCTTACTAGTGCTTTCACAATCAGGAAATTCCCATAATCCCGGTGTATTACCAGGAGTTATCCCTGAGTGCAGAACCAGGAGTAAACCCTGAGCATTGCAGGATGTGACCCCCCTCAAAAAAAAAAATGATGATATTCTGAGTGACAAGATTGGGAGTATAAGGAACTTGGTGACATTCCTCTTGAGGCTTCCTATCACTGAATAAAACTTCAACCACGAAAGGATGAAATAGGGACTAGAGCAATAGCACGGCACGTAGGGCATTTGCCTTGCACACGGCTGACCCGGATTCGATTCCCAGCATCCCATATGGTCCCCTGAGCACCACCAGGAGTAATTCCTAAGTGCATGAACCAGGAATAAGCCCTGTACATCACCAGGTCACTGCTCACTCACTGCTCTCCCATTGTTCATCGATTTGCTCGAGCGGGCCCAGCAACGTCACCATTGTGACAACTGTTACTGTGTTTGGCATATCGAATACATCACGGGTGGCTTGCCAGGCTCTGCCGTGTGGGCAAGATACTCTCGGTAGCTTGCCGGGCTCTCCGAGAGGGGCAGAGGAATCGAACTCGGGTCGGCCATGTTGGCTGCGTGCAAGGCAAACGCCCTACTGCTGTGCTATCGCTCTAGCCCATAAAAAAAAGCCCCCCCCCCCAAAAAAAAAGAATGAAATGAAATAGGGCTGAAGAGATAGTACAGTGGGTAAAGGGCATGCCTTGCATGTGGCCAACCCCAGTCAATCTCTGTATGTGAATCACCACATGGGTAATTCCTGGGAAGAGAGCCAGGAATAGTGCTAGAGCACCACCAGTGTACTCTCTCCTCCCCCTTCCCTGAAAAATAAAAGGAGAGGGAAAAAATCATTGCCTCAAACCTCCTTGAGGAGTGGCACATGGAGGTGGTAGTGGGAAGGAGGGAACAAAAAAAAAAGAAGTGATATCACAGAAACTGGCAAACATCAAAAAGAACAAGAATCAAAAAGAACAAGAACAGTCAGTATTGTTGGGAATGTAGAATTGTCTAGCTTTTTTGGAAAAAGATGTGGGAATTCCTCAAAACATTAGAGCTTCTATACCACCCAGCAATACCACTTATGGGAATATAACCTGGGGCCCAAAAACGTGAAGCAGAAATGCATGTACTGGGGCTAGAGCGATAGTACAGCAGGTAAGGTGTTTTCCTTGCACACAATGACCCAGATCCCTGGGATCCCATATGGTCCCCCAAACACCACTGGGAGTGATTCCTGAGTGCAGAACCAAGAGTAACACCTGAGCACTGCCAGGTGCAGCCCAAAAACCAGAAAAGAAAAAAAACAGACTAGAAGAAACACCACCTGCATTTCTAAGTTCATTGCAGCACTATTCACAATAACCAGAATCTGTAAACAACCCAAGCACCCGAGAATAAATAACTTAATAAAGAAATTATAGTATATCTACACAATGGAATGCTACACAGCCACCAAGAAAATGAAGTCATGAAATTTTCTTGCAAATGGATGAACATGGAGAGTATCATGCTGAGTGAAATAAGTCAGAAGGTGAGAGACAGACATAGAATGATTGCACTCATTTGTGGGATATAAAAAACATAGTATGAAACTAATATCCAAGGAAAGAATCAGGGGCCAGGAGGAATGGTCTACAGTTGGAAGCTTGCCACAAGTGATGGGAATGAGGACAGTTAGGGTAGAGAAGGGACCAACTATGACATTGATAGTTGGAAATGATCACCCTGGACAAGAACTGAGTGCTGAAAGTAATAAAGGGATATTATATGATAAATTTTCAGTACCTGTATTTCAAATCATAATGCCCAAAAGCAAAGAGAGAAAAAGAAATAAATAGAGAAAAAAATGCCTGCTATTATAGAGGCAGAGTGGGAGTAAGGGTTAGAGAAGGGAAAATTGGGGACGCTGGTGGTAGAAAATGTACACTGGTGAAGGGCTGGGTTTTTGGAACACTGTATATCTGAAACTCAACTTTGTGTATTTCAGGGTGATTTTTAAAAAATAAGCCAAATAAAAATTTTAAAAAAGAGGATATGCTTGGAGGCCTAAAATACCCATGACCTCTGAGTATAGGGAGAAGAGCAGAGAAGGAAAGAAATTGAAAGGGAAAGAAGAGATAGATGGGGGGGTCAGGGGAGGCAGAGGTCAAGGGGATCCGAGTCCATCAGTGTTGTTAAAGGAGTGGTACAGCTAGATATCCAAACCACAGAGTCAACGACACTGAAAACAAGGGAACCAAACTCCAACAACCGAACTTAAAAATGTACTTGTCAAGGTGCTGGGCTGAGGCTGGAGCAAGGGGCGGGTGGGAGGGAATTTGGGGATGCTGGTGGAGAGAAGACGCTTGGTACAGTGGGATCAGTGCTGGAACCATATTGTAAAATTCAAGTTATAAAAAACTTTGTAAATCATGGAGCTTTAATAACATTTTTAATCAGTTTTTTTAAACCAAGTGATGCCACTGAAAGGTTTCAGCCCATTGTCCTGCAGTCATCACCCTGACATCCCACAGGTTTACTTTCACCATGTATGAAATAACCCTCTGCTGACCCACCCTCCTGACCGACAGACCCGGTGGGTGTAGCCTTCAGAGCTGGCCAAGCGCCGGAAGACTGTGGTCCCATGAAGTTTATTCTGCATGTGCATGTGCACACACATACTCTACCATCTAGGAACAGAGGGGGATCCCTTCATCCCCTCCTCCCTTCCGTTAGATGTGATTTTTTTTGGCTTTTTTGGTCACACCCGGTGATGCACAGGGGTTACTCCTGGCTCTGCACTCAGGAATCACTCCTGGCGGTGCTCAGGGGACCATATGGGATGCTGGGAATCAAACCCTGTTGGCTGCATGCAAGGCAAACGCCCTGCCCACTGTGCTATCATTCCAGCCCTTAAACGTGACTTTTGTGCCCAACCTCCCCCCTCCATCTTTTGACCAAGGCCCTAGGTACACAAGAGCACTAACCAAGGATGTGGGGGATTTGGCGTGGTAACCCCATGGTGGGGAGAGGGGGAAGCCCAAGGGGGAGACAGGCACAGATGATGGGCCTGTTTGATGGGCGGTGGAGCTGTAATGAGAAGACCGTGGAGGAGGAAGACCAGACAGCATGAGGGGTACAGAAGAACCAAGTCATTGCCCTGAAACTGGTGAACTGGGATGTGTAACTGAAACTAAGACTATCTGGTTTGGGATGTGGCTTGTTTGTTTTTGTGGTGCCCAGAATCAAACCCAGGGCCTCACATATACAAGGCCATGCTCTACTGCTGAGCTATAAACCCTTCTGTTTTAGAAATCTAACACATAGACTTTGGGGTAAAAAAGATTTGTTTTGTCCTATAAAATGTCTACATTATTGTATATGTTTTGGAGAGAGAGAGGGCCACCCAGCAGTGTTCAGGGGTCACTCCTGGTGGCACTCGGGGACCATGAAGGTAAGGGGATCAAACCTGGGCTTCTGCAGGCAAATCATGGTAGAGTGCCAGAGAGATAGTTCAATGGGCTGAGCACGTGCTTTGCAAGCAGGTGGCCCAGGGTTTGATCCCCAGCACCGCAGGGATATCTTTGAGTATCACCAGGAAGAGTCCTTAG